GCCAGAGATGAGCCACACGGCCTCCCTGCCAAACATCCAAAAGAGTACATAACCTCCCTGCAAAAAAGCAGGAGCCATGCTCTCAAAGCCCTACGAGATTTTTTCTTAATCTGTGGATCAGTGAGATAAAAACCCTTTTCCCTTCAATCTTGATATTTGACTTTAAATGTTTTTGCGGTTGTTGACTTGAACTTCTGCAGGATGTTATCACTCAGAATGATGGCTATACAAGTTTATGTTTCTAGCATACAGGAAATGTGAGGAAATCTTGGTAATGTTTAAACCAGTCTGAAATATTTTGGACAGATGCGTCTGCATTCTTGTTGTCATGTTTTAAGACATTGTACATTTATGCATGTTTCTGTATTTTTGTGAACTTCACAGAAATGCTTATCAGGAGCACATGTGAGTGTATTTGCATGTTTATGTGTTTTGTGGGGGTAGTGAGTAGTCATTGCTTAGCAGACAGTGTATTTTTTTTCAGTTCCGCAAATTGGAAACATAGGAAATGTCACACCTTTATTATTTTGACATCTAATTTTATAACAGCAATCTTTGTGCATAATATCATGCACTGAATGTTTTAGCTGCATGCATCTAAATGTTTGCAAGCGCTAACATGTATGCATGTCTCCAAGGCTCATTGGTGGCTTAGATCCTAAGCCCTGAGCAATACTTAGTCCAGATGTTTGGTGTCTGCAGTAACATACTACTTTGGAAACTTTCCCATATGTTATCTGGTGTGGTTGACGCCACGCTAGCCTCAAACTTCAAAACAACCCAGTTCTAAATATAGTCTGAAGCTCTTAATCATTCTGCAGACTCTTAATATACTTGATAGCCAGCTCACAGAGCTCAGATAGGACATATAGCATTTTTCCCCACATCTTTGTCATGCATAAGGAGCTGACTCATGAAACCCAGTCAGACTAAGTTTCATGTCCTTAACTTGAGAAAAAGCTCAGGACCGCTCCTTCTGTGCAGTACTGTTTTATTTCAACTATACATGCCGTGTTAAAAAAATCAACCCAGGAAAAATCATGAAACAAAAACCATTGTTATTATTTACACATTCACAGTACAACTTTACAACGTATCTACACTCTCAAATACTCTGGAGATCATATATACAGCTGGCCTTGCATCGCCATGTTGCACAGTATTTAATTCAAAATTACATGACAAAATCTGGTTCATCTGCACATACACCGAGCTCAGACTGGAATATAAAGGCTTCAATTTAGATTGCAACAGAAAGACTCAGTTCATATTGCAATGTACAAGGCAGTTGAGCAGTGTATGTGGAGTGTATGTTTGGGATGTCAGTGTGCATGTGTCAAGTAGAAAAGAGAGCCCAAACACTAGTGAGATGACAGGCAAAAAGTCTTTACATACAATCATCACTTGTAAACAAAATGTGGCTTTAGGCTAAATGGGAAACTGACACTTGATTAACATTGCAGGTGTTACCAAAATAATGTACTCATTGCTAAAATGATGTCTTACTTGTCTGTACTGGCCAATAGAAACAATTCCTGTCACTGCAATCCTGGGGAATTACAGATTCTGTGTGGCCACCACCCATGCCAACAAACGGCTTTCATGTGAACACTGTGTTAATACATTGGTTGTGGGCAGAATGTGCTGCACTGAGCCGACTGCTCCATAGTGCAAGGTCTAACCACCCTACATCCCACTGTCAACAAAATACATTCACTGCATGGCGCCTCTATGTGGTGGATTACCACCATTCTTTTCAACACCAGTAGTAAAGGAGAAAAAAATTGATTCCTGCACCAAATAAATGTTTTTTTGACTGTCCTTTTGTATGACTATCATTCACAAGAGGAATGTTTGCTAAGCGATTTGTTTTCCACCTCACTTTGGTTTGGATTAGGTAGTGATTTTCCAATACACATCCTGCTG